ACACATGCTTGCCTTCTCACTATGTCATAACTGCCCAATCTGAAATAGTACATCACAGATGACAGATGCAACCAGAGAGTTCAGGACAGCTGATATCGAGATATCCAGCAACCGACCCTCGTGCAAAAGGAATTCCGAGCGGTTCTCGTCCACTCTGGCCATGGCCAGTAAAGCCTTGGCCGCCCTGCACATCATGTCTACGCTAGGTGGTTCCAGAGGCGGGGGCTGCATGTGTATGAGGTTATGCTGGCTCTGCTGGTACTGCGCCATCGTGACCCCGTCCTCCAGGAAGCTTATCAAGTTCCCAATGCTTCCCTTCTGCACAGCTATTGCCCTTGCTGCTAGCGCATCCCCCTGGGCAAGGTTCGATAAAAGCGCCATGGACATTTCTCGACAGACTGGGTTTTTGCGATCCCCAACGTACCTAACTAACGTAGCATAGAATTTCTCCTGACGACTAAATGGAGGCGTGGCCAAGATGAGGTCCACGTTATTGTCCTGGATGCTGAGCTTACAGAGGGTCTCCAGCACAAGTCTTTGAGGCGACAGGACCGAGTTGGGTCCCACTGTGGGAAAGGGGTCTTGCGCCTCTGCAGATGGGCACACCATCCAGTGCAGCAAGCCATCCAGGATCGGCAAGCAGATGCTTTCCGTGTAAGCAGACAAGTCTAGCTGCCCCGAGATGTTGGCCAATGTGACCAGTGTGTTGTCCCGCAAGACCTCCAGGCAGTCCCACCACCACTCATCTTTGCTGCAGGCCACCCCCTTGTCCTCGTCCTCCTCCTTCTCGTAGGTCTGCGGCGCTCGTTTTCTCTCTGGATGCTCGTGGTGAAGAAGAATCAGCTTCCCCAGGATCAGCACCAAGCCCGGATGTTTGGACATCTCAGCGTCGTTGCCAGGCACGAAAGACAAGCTGCGCACGATGTTGGACACGCAGATGCAGCGCCTGGCCAGCGAGTCTTGCCAGTGTGCGATGGTGCACAGTGGGGTCTCGTCCCGGCTCCTGGGCTCATCTTCCAGCAGCCTGATGTTCCGGTGGCTTTTGGCCTGCTGTATACCAAAGGGAAACTTGCTGCTTTCTGTCTGGGGTCCAGGGTTTGCTTCTTCGGGCAAGGCCCCCGGCCGAGCAGACAGGACATCATCGATGGTGGCTATGATGCTTTTCTCTGGCTGCTCTTCAGAATCACCTTTGCCTTCTGGCTCTTTCTTTCTACCTGTGGAGCTTAAAGGGGGAGGTGGGCGCCTGCGAGGAGGAATCTCCATCTTACTCTCAAAGTGGGTCTGGATGTGCTCCGTGGTGTCACCGCCCCCCAGCTGCCAGTGCAGAAGCCCGCTGCTGAACTCCTGCACGCGGCCCAGCCGGTCAGAGCGGTCCACCACAAACAGGTTGTTCTTCTTGACAATCTTTATGGGCAGCTTGTCAAACTTACTGGCCTGTCTGGGCTTCTCTTTGGGGGCTGTAGTGGTGTCTGGGGCAGCGAGGGTGGCACTGCTCTTTGCCTCCGACTCCACCTTTTCGATGTCTTCCTCCTCTTCCTCCTCGTCCTCCTCCTCCTCGAGACCCTCAGTGTCTTCCTCCTCTTTCCCAGAATCTTCTGCCAGGGACTGGCTGTCCTCTCCCTTCACTGCACTGTGACCGAGTGCTTTCTGGCTGGGGTCTCCCACTTCATACTCCATGAGAATTCCAAAAATGTCAATCAGGCATTTTCTAAAGTATTCTACTAAAAGTTCAAGAAATCCAGACAACTAGAGGAGAGGAGAGAGAAGAGATACAGTCATGACATCAGCTGTGACTGGAGGAGTGAAACCCTGGGACCACCTTTCTGGCTGGGTTGGACCACAGGTGTGCTGGGTGAACTTCCCAAACCCCACATCGTGAACCAAGCCAACACAGGCACACCTCCCGTTGCTGCTGACTTTCAACTCCCCCAACCTGAACCTGACTTCTTGCTCCACATTGCTAATGTCATCAATGAGGGTGCGCTCGGCTCTTCTTTATCCACCTGGTTTAGATACAGCACACTCATTATTAGAAGAGTAGGAATGTGGATTTTATAGGCTCTTTCACCCAAAGTGACTCGTTCTCTTCTATTATTTATCTGAGACTTGCTTGTTGGGATTTTTATGGTTATTATTCTTAGGATTTTATGGTCATTTTTGTCTCAGGTGCCATAGGTTACCCTAATTTATATTCACTGTGTATCCTTTAGAGAAGATAATTTCAACTATGTAGTAGCTCATAAACACTGAAAATTAGAAACAAATCAATTTAGTCTTTGATAAATGAATTAAAATGTTTCATAAAATGCAATTTTACATTTCAGTTCGTCACAGCTCAAGCTGAAAGACAAAAGCCACTAGGAGAGAGCCACCAATTGTGAGAGCAAGCTGCAATTCCTGTGAGCCCCTGAGCCATGGAGGGCAAACCAGGACTCCGGGACCCCACTGCCGGCCCTGCCAGACGAGGGCCCTCCAAGAAGTAGGTCATAATAACAAGGGCTCTCTCCTGACAGACACCGGCATCACCACACTGTCCTGTTTGCCGGCAGTGTCTTTTGGAAAGTGGGTGAGAAGCACCGACTCTGGCACAGTACTTGCTTTCAGGGTCCCAGAGAAACCATTTCCAGGTAGGAGTCTGGATAAGTGAAGCTTACTTTTCCCCTGGGGAGAAGGGGAAGTTAAGAAAGAGGTCCTGAGTGTGAGAACATGTGACCAGCACAGCTCACGTGTTATAAGGATGAAAGTTAATTACTCTAGTGAAGGCCAGATATATTTTAAAATATTTATTTTCTTTTAAAAGAGACTTTGTGTGACATTTAAGACCTTATTAATCTCTTTCTATCAACTGAAAAATCATCCTTCTGGGCCACATTACATTGAGGAATATATGAAAGAAGACAGGGGAGGTGGGAGAGGATGGTCTTATTTCAGTGGAAGCAAGGAAAGTGCTCTGTTTTTAACAGAAAGCAGAGCATTCCTCATGTGCTCCAGGGAGAAGGGCCCATCCTCAGCTCCCCCCATCCAGCTGCCTCCCGCCCAGCTTCCAGCAGCGCACCAGCTGGCGAGGCTCATTCTTAAAGGTGAAATGACTGCTTCAGAATAACCTGGGAAGAGGCAGAATAAAGGCATAGACCTAGACAGAGGTTTGGCCACAAGACCATGACATTTCCAGCTGGATGTAGGGTAGGGTGGTGGGGTTCACTGACCTCCTCTCTACTTCTATATACTTCATACATTTTTGACTAATATTCCCTTTGGCCTGCTAACATTCACCTAAAGATTTAACTTGGCCACACCCCCCACCCACAGTCACTGTTTTCCTGAGAAGCACAGGTATGTATGTGTATCACCTAACTGAAATGAGTATCATTGCAGATCACATTCTCAGGCAGCTACATATTGATCAATGTCGATTTATGACTACAATGATTAGAGAGGTTAGCTGATCACTACCAATCAACCTGGGCATCAGATCAGGTGTGTTGCACGACTGGACTTCATTTCCTAACACTCTAATCTGGCCACTGGCTGGACTGGTGCCAGCTTGCTCACCTGGGAGAGATTGAAAGTAGCAACCGTGCTGTCATCATAGAGAAGGATGTTGATAGTGTCCAGAGCCCAAGTACTTTCAGCCAAAAGCCCTGATTTAAGGGACATCATCACACGCCATGCCTCAGGGGTAACTGAAAACAGGAAAGAACAAGGATATCAGTAAAATGAACTCTATGAATGAAAGGGCAGAAAGTAACAAAAGAACGAGAGGAAAGAAGTGGAGCACCGGGTTAAACAGATGCCCTGAGAGTTGAACATGCCCCTCTTCTAAGTTTAAATGGAGGTGACAGGTTGTGCTAAGAAATGTCTGTTGTCTAAGATCTTTTTGTTGTTTTGCTGGTGAAACGCGGACCACTGCTAGCGAGGATGGCTGGGCTAGGCACAGGGTCCTTTCTCATCTCGGGTATTTTACCACCTAACAGTCTGTAAGGATGCATTGGTTTCTAGTAAGAATGGGCCCGGAAGTGCTCCTGTCTTCTTTCGCATTCTTCACTCACAAATGCTCTGGAAGGCTGGTAAGTATGCAGGACACAAAAGGAAGATTTAAATCCCAAATAGCACATCCTCAGATACAAAGTCTTGATTTCCCCATGCTGTCTTCTTCTACTTTTGAGCTCCTGCTCAAGAACATGCTGCTGGCAAATATCAGCACTTTGATGGTTAGATTTCAGAGTGTGCTCTGAACCAAGGAATGGAAATAAAAGGGCTGTATTTTTTCTTGTTTTCCTTATTCCTGTTCCTGAAGAAATAAAGTGATTAGATAAAGAATTATAAGATTTGCCTATGATGGGGCTGGAGAATGGACCCATTACTTTTCAATGGGAGCTGCTCAGGAGGCCCTGCAGGAGAGCATGGTGGGAGACCAGGACTGAGGAGGAGACCTGTTCTACCTGATGGGCCTGAGCCACAGCTAGGAGGGTAGGAGGGGGTTTCTGGACACCCATAGTACTGTGTCATGGGGGAGGGCCCTGAACTTGTTCCTCCTTTATTTTATTTAAAAAAATGTTTTAAGCTGTAGATGGACAAAATACCTTTATTTTTATGCAGTGCCAAAGAGTGAACCCAGTGTCTCACATGTGCTAGACAAGAGCTCTACTACCACTGAGCTACAACCCCAACCCTCCTCCTTTATTTTAATTCTATTTTTCAAACTTTCTAAGATAGATAGTCATATAGTACTTTTACATTAGAAAAGTCAAACTTTTTTTTTTTTTTTTAAATAAGGAATAAGCAACTCAGGAGACTGAGACAGGAGGATCATGAGTTCTAAGGATAGCCTCAGCCACTTAGCAAGGCCCTAAGCAACTCAGCAAGACCATATCTGTCTCTCTGTCTCTCTCTCTCACACATACACACACAAAAAAACCCCCACAAACCCCCCAAACCAAAAACAAACAAACCACCAGGGCAGGGGATATAGCTGGTATAGCACCCCTGGGTTCAATCCCTGTTATCAAAAAAAAAAAAAAAAAAAAAAAGAACATTTTTCCCTAGGCTTCAGACAAGTACTTATATAACATATACTAAGAATTGTTAAACAATAATAATGTTTATTTAAACATACATATGCACACATTGTATTTATATATATTTCTATATAAAAAATGGTGTGAAAGTGTCTGCATTTTCTCTCCCCATGTGATGTCCTCAGATATCAAAATGCCTTACTTTCTTCTCTCTACATATATATCTTCTTCATGTCCAATGACTAAAAACACCTTTAATGCATTAATTTAGAATCTTCAATTTTCTAATTGCTACAAATAATTTAAGTCAGGTGATTCTGAAATTTTTTTCTTATACAACCAACATCTATTATTTCCCTTGTGTTAAATAAATGCAGAAAAACTGTGTACTCCCAGACATTCCAGATCTCTAATGAGCATTTACACTCTCTTGAAGGCTGAACAAGTGACATCAGCTTCAACTGAAGTAGCTCCCTGGGCCACATCTGCCAGTGCTGGGCAGATTACGTCAAGTCCACGGAGCACACAGCAGCCCGCTTCAGGTACCGTATCTACAGATGACGGCCACATCTCCGCTTTTCCCCATGGCAATTCACAGGGTTGTTACCAAATCAGAGTGGCATGCCTTCAAATTCTCACGGTCACCCTTAGCATTTCCATGACCTCACAGTGGGTTTGTTAGCACATGATGTAGGGATTAAGTGGCTTGGTTAATGTCAAATTGTTAAGCCTGAAACACAGCATAGAATTACTGAGGATTCCCTGACCTCTTATTTATTTATTTATAATATTTATAAATAAATAAATATTATATTTATAAAAATATTTATTTTTTAAGATTATTTTTATGTGGTGCTAAGGATCGAACCCAGTGCCTTGCTCACATGTGCAAGGCATGCACTCTGCCACTGAGCCACAACTTCAGCCCCTGACCTCCTCCTGTTTGAAGCTCTAATCTCCACACAACATTCACACCTAAAAATACCACATCAACTCAAGTTCTTCTCCAGCACCGTCTTAATTTGGATGGTTTCCAACTATTGCTCTTATATAAAAGCATTCTGATAATTTGCACTCATAAGAACTTATCTTACGGGGCTGGGGATTGTGGCTCAAGAGGTAGCGCGCTGGCCTGGCATGTGCGAGGCACTGGGTTCGATCCTCAGCACCACATAAAAATAAACAAAATAAAACAAAAAAATACGTATTTTTAAAAAAACTTATCTTACTAATATCAACAAAAATTACATCAACTAAAATTAAAATTCTAGGCCAAATTATATGGTTATATTGAGTGCATATATGAATATGTAGCAATAATCCCATCATTATGTTCAACGATAATGCACTCATAAAAACAATGTGGAAGAAAAATAAAGTTCTAGACTTCAACTGAAATTCATTTCCAGAACAAATCTCTGTAATTCTCACCGATATCTTTTGAGGTAATCTTTCGCCTTTGCTTCAGGACTGGCTGTGATGCTTCCACTGAGCCAGGAGGAAAGGTGATCTCCCTTCTGATTGGGGGTGGCTGGGGGGGTGGCCCAGTGACCTGGGACGTGGGGACCGTAGGCATGACCTTCTGCATCTTCATGGTGGGCAGAAAGGGAGACTTGCTTGGAGACATGCGATTCTCCAGGGAGCGCTGGAAGGAAGCCGGGCTGGGCGCCCTGGAGATATGGTTTGGCAGTGACGGTGGTGTCTGGTAGGATGACTGAGGTGGGCGCGTGATGGGCTGCATGGAGGCCGAAGATGACATATAAGGCTGGCGCTGGCTGACGTGAGAAGGCCACTGGCTCTCATGATTCATCCTCTGATCAGGTACCATCAAGTCATCCGTGCGGCTCATGCCTGGATAAGGGGGAGCCTGCGCAGGGCCGCCGGGGCCCTGCCTGTTTGGGTAGGGGTAAGGCATATCGTTACGCGCTGCCCACATGTTCTGCTGAGGCCCTTCACCGGAGGAGGCCTGCATGGGGCCGCCCAGCATCTGAGGCGGGATTCCGTGGGGCTGCATCTGGCCTGGGCCCTGCATTCTCTCTCTGTTGTAGGGGTATGGATACTGGCCCTGAAGGGGCCTCCGGTCCGGGCCAGAGTAAGAACTTCCATACTGGTTGTACATCTCTTGCTGCTGGTTGCCATACTGCATGTTATACATGTCTCCCTCGTGGCGCTTGGCTGGAGGCCCGTACATGCCATCCATGTGGCGTTTATAATTCTGAAATTCATATAAAGACAAATCATGTGGTGTGCTCTTACAGGTATAATCACGCACGCTCAAATTATGCAAAATAGTTATTACCTGGTGGTAATGTTCATTTCAAGATGAACATGGGAAGCTCCTACATAACGAGAACTAACAATTTGGGACTGTTCCATGTCACATAATGCCTTGTGTCACACACTCCAAAGAGGGTTTCCAAAGTTTGTTTTTACATGTTGGAAATTTTCTGTGGCAGAAAAAAAAAGCCTCCTCTCCTTGAAGCATGGTGACAGTGCAGCCTCTGCACAAAGGCGGGTGCTGGGTGGGGCTTGAAGCCACACTGAGAAACAAAAGGGTGGCCCACAGGAGAGCACTGAGGAGCCCAGGGCCACCAGAAGTTCCAGGGCCAAAGAGATGTCTTACAGAAAATTCTCCAGACAGGATTCAGCTCCCCAGGCTGTGACATCATGTCACCCAGTGTCCAGCCCCAGCAGTACCTGTCACTAAGCTGGGAACTCTGGGGACCAGTGCTAGTCAGGGTGGGTGGGAACCTCTGGTTGGGAGGGAGTGAGATGCTGAGATTTTCATTAGTATTTGTTTTACCTGAAAACTGTTTAAGATCAGACGGCTCAATAATACAAGTCACTGTATGTATGTGTGTGTGTGCGCATATATAAAATACACACACATATATATACTATTATTATTATATATATCTCTCCAAAAAACCCTTAATGTTTAAAAGCTGCTTTGTGATAAAAATTTTAAAAAAAATCCTCTATTTTGCAAGAGGTCTTCCATCTGAAAGGTTGTTTAGAAATAGCGAGGTCCTATACAATTAATCAACAAGTACATGAAAAAATGCTCACCATCTCTAGCAGTCAGAGAAATGCAAATCAAAACCACCCTAAGATACCATCTCACTCCAGTAAGATTGGCAGCCATTCTGAAGTCAAACAACAAGAAGTGCTGGCGAGGATGTGGGGAAAAGGGTACTCTTGTACATTGCTGGTGGGACTGCAAATTGGTGCAGCAAATTTGGAAAGCAGTATGGAGATTCCTGGGAAAGCTGGGAATGGAACCACCATTTGACCCAGCTATTGCCCTTCTCGGACTATTCCCTGAAGACCTTAAAAGAGTGTACTACAGGGATACTGCCACATCGAGGTTCATAGCAGCACAATTCACAATAGCTAGACTGTGGAACCAACCCAGATGCCCTTCAATAGATGAATGGATAAAAAAAATGTGGCATTTATATACCATGGAGTATTACGCAGCACTAAAAAATGACAAAATCATGGAATTTGCAGGGAAATGTATAGCGCTAGAGCAGATTATGCTAAGTGAAGCTAGCCAATCCCTAAAAAACAAATGCCAAATGTCTTCTTTGATATAATGAGAGCAACTAAGAACAGAGCAGGGAGGAAGAGCAGGAGGAAAAGATTAACATTAAACAGAGACATGAGGGGAGAGGGAAAGGGAGAGAAAAGGGAAATTGCATGGAAATGGAAGGAGACCCTCATTGTTATACAAAATTACATATAAGAGGTTGTGAGGGGAATGGGAAAAAAACAAGGAGAGAAATGAATTACAGTAGATGGGGTAGAGAGAGAAGATGGGAGGGGAGGGGAGGGGGGATAGTAGAGGATAGGAAAGGTAGCAGAATACAACAGTTACTAATAGGGCATTATGTAAAAATGTGGATGTGTAACAGATGTGATTCTGCAATCTGTAGTTGGGGTAAAAATGAGAGTTCATAACCCACTTGAATCTAATGTATGAAATATGATATGTCAAGAGCTTTGTAATGTTTTGAACAACCAATAAAAAAAAAAAAAAGAAAGAAATAGCGAGGTCCTATGTTTCTGAAAAGCCACCCAGAGGCCCAAGCCTTAGCATCAACTCTGACAGCTGCATGGGGTTTGCACAGCTAAACAGCAATGGCCACCGCCAACTTGATTATGGGGCATTGATATCTTAGTTTTTTAAAGACAAATTAACTTTTACTATATAACATTTTGAGTTGCCTTTTCTATATATTCTTCAAAACACTGACAAATCTCTGTTTTACAACAGCTTTTGACACAAGAGTATACAGTTGTCCCATGGTATCTGCAGGGGATTGGTTCCATGACCCCTGTGGACACCAAAATCCAAGAACGCTCAAGTCTGAATATGGTGCAGCCTTTGCAAATAACCTATGTACTGCCTCCTGTATACTTTAATTCATCTTTAGATTATTTCTAATACCTATACAATGTTAATGAATGCTTTATAAATTGCTATCTCTATTGTTTGGGGAATAATGACAAAGAAGCATGTACATGTTCTGTACAGATACAATGTTTTTAAAGATACTTTCAAACATTTTTGGTCTGTGGCTGGCTGAATCCATGGATTTGGAACCCACAGACAAAAAGCCAACTGCACACTATGGAACCTCTTCACAACACACCTCACTCTCCATTGGTCTTGTCATCATTTGTAAGAATTAATGTATTTAACTTCATTTAGTATGTTATATTTATTTCACAATATTATATAATAAGAGCTATGTTTAATTACTGACTCCCAAATCCCAGAAGTACTTTTTAGTATTAAATACATCCTGAATGTTCAATAAATGCTAATCATTTTGGTTATAATTCCTAAAAATCTTCAGAAGTAACACAAGTTGAGTTTCAGATTCTCAGAGAGGAACAGAGAACACAAGGACCCACGCCCACTTGCCAACTCACCGGCTGCTGGGGATACAGGCCAGGCTGGTGTCCTCCATATGGTGGCTGTCCTGCCGGAGGACCTTGGCCTGGATACTGCTGCCCATAAGGTTCATGCCTGGAACAAGGCATTCAAAGGAAACTTAATGCACAAAGGACTTCGGATGAGCACAGCATGAACAGCCCATTTTGGAGACTCTACCCCCAGTGGTGCTGCCGTTCCTCTGTCACACACTGCTCCCAACAGCCTTCCTGGGCAGCAGCTGCTGTAGCTTTTAGCAAGAAGGATGGGAACACCCATTTCGGGAGTGCTGCCAAACTCCTGGTTTGGGATGTTGCTAATAGGTGTGAGAGAAATACCGGTTGAACAGGCAGCACCTGTGAGTACCTGCCCAAGCCTTTGAGGCAGAAGCTCCGCCTCCCACTGAAGCTCACCCAGGAAGTGTCACAGACGCCATGTGAGGCACCATGACAGCAAGAAGCAGAGGAACCTGGGTCTCAAGCAGTGTTGGTAGAAGTGCTGCCACATGCAAAATGGTCTACTTTTTACTTTCTCATTATGAATAAAAATGTTTAAGTTTTTAAAGGTCAAACCTAATTATTTCATAGATCTATGACCTGAAAGTCTATGGAAAAAAAAACAACAATGACTGAAATGTACTCCTATTAAGTCACAACCTGGAAATAAGTAATACATTTATTTCCAACCGCAACTATACTGAGAAACTGTAAATACCATAAAAATAGTATGTTCTCAAGGGCAACAGATTTGAACTCTTGAAAAATAAATTGGTTTAAATTAGTAGATTGAATCTTATAAGAAAAAGAGTAACAAAATTGAATATATTCCTAACATAATCAAGGAATAAGAAAAAAATAAATTTTTAAATATCAACAGGTAAAAAAGACATAGAATTTTTTTAAACTACTATGATTATTTAGAAATAAAGAAATATAATTGACATGGATAAAAATCTAAGTAACATATTTCAGAAAAGCAAACTTAATGAAGTAAATCTCATGTGTTTGAACCAGAAAAGCATATGTACTGGAAATCTTTTAATAATATATGAAAATGTTCTTGTAATCTTGTTAATAAAATCAATCAGTCAGTTTTAACTGGGCCTTAAACTCAAACCAAAATCCTGATCTGGCACACTAAACATTATATTGACCAACCGATTGAGGCACATATATATGGCCAGGGTTAACAATTCAAGAACCGGTGTGCAGAAAATGTCAGGGAGAAACCTTACCTAGCAAAACGGTGATCTTCCCAACTTCCTCCCTCTGATTAAACTAAAGAGCACCCCATGTGTGGAGGGCGAGAGGGGCCATCTCAGCAGGTGGTCCCTGGGCATATGCACCCCCAGATCCCTGAGGAAGTGGCCTGAGAGCCAGCTCTGCCCTGTGAGTGGCACTCCACTCACACTGTTTCGTTGCCTCCAGTCTCTCCTCTTTTTTTCCTTTGAAAATCAAATATGACATTAAAGGCTGAGTGCTTCCCTGGATGGGAGGGAGCGAACACTCCCACAAAGGGGGGGCATATTGAACCAGGGGCACAGGGGAGGGGTCTCGTCACAAAGAAAGCTCCCCCGTGCCACTGCTGTAGGGCAGTTTATGATGACCTCTCTCTGACATCTCAATGGCTCTCTTCCTTCTGGGCTGGTCCTGTGGCCTAACTGGCCACTTCAGTGACACGATGGCTTCCTTTAGAGAGGCTCATGCAGGCCACGTGGCGGGCCTTCTCAGAATTGTTTATCAAGGAGTAATGTGCACTCTCTTTTTAGAAGGAAGAGTGGAAACGTCAGAAGGAGCAACATCTGGAAGACCTTTCTAGAATGCCCGAAGCGTGATGCTACAACCCTCAGACATTCCTTAAGAAATAGAGGGGGTGGGGAGAGAGCTGGTTCTGCGAAACCCAGGAGTCTGGTAGCTCCCAGAGAAGCCACACCTGCTGCAGCCGGGCCACCTCTCTGTGGTGACAGTGACCACTCAGAGAGGGAAGTACATGCTGGGTGCAGCAGTGTGGCATGGTGTGCTGAGGAGTGGCCATGGGTCTTGAGTTCCCAGGAGAAGCCTCTAGCAGCAGCCAGAACAGCCCCGAATATCTTATTTATGCTACGAATTTGCTTACAAAAGTACAGAGCCATCTGGTTGCCTGGGGACAAGGTCCTTCTTTGTGGTCCTGCTGTGGCTGTCCCTGAAGGCAGCCAGCTGACACTCACCTGGGGATCAGTGGCAACCAGACGGAAGGGCCACTGTGCTGCCCTCAGTGGCTCAGTGCTAGGGCTCAGGAGAGTAAGTTAGAACAGCATTTCTCCTCATTCTTCTTGTCTTCCTTTTGAAAAATACTCACCTCCGGTCGTAACTGGCCCCATAGGGAAACTGCTGCCGCTGACCCATGCTCAGGTTGGACACGGCCCCTGCGGGACTCTGGCTGTACACGTCCTGCATGCTGCTGTTGGGCATCTGGCCTTGCGTCATAAAGGGCTCGCTGCTTCCAGGCACTGTAATATTTGAAGAAAAGGCATAAAATGAGGCATCTGCAAGTTAACTCCTTCTAGGAGTCTGCCCCATGTCCACATGGCACACCACAATACTAATGAGAGAGCCCAGGGTCTGAAGTCAGGTGGATCCTGGAGGGGCAGAACCCTAAGATATCCCCAAAGACACCTCTGCCACCCCAATGTGTACCTTAAATGACTGCCTTGCTTGGAACATGACGGAGCCTAGGAACAGCATGGGTTATGCTGCCCCTGATTATGGTGTATTAGGTGCTAAGAGGGATTTCACAGGTGTAATTAAAGTCACTAATCAGCTGTGAGTTAACCATGAAGGAGAGTATCCAGGTAGCCCGTCAAATCCCTGGCTAGAGGCTGGAGATGGAGCCAGTCTGAGACCTTCAGTTGTCCTGAAGCCACTGCCCTGCTGTGGGGAGGACTGCCTTAAAGAGAGGAGGCAGGGATCAGTCAACAAGCCAGTGGTCAACCAGGCTTTAACCACAGGAACTGAATTCTGTCAACAACCTGAATGAATTTGAAAAGGACTCAGAGCCTGACTCAGAGGGAGTCCTGGCGACACCTTGACTCCAGCCTGAGGGACCTTCACCTGTTATGCAGCAACCAGCAACCCACTCGGGGCCCAGGTCCATACCAATGAGGTCTAAGTCTTATCTATACAAGAGGCCACTCAACATCTCCTGGAATAGCTGTGAGAAAGACAATGAAATGTGTATATACAGTGAGTTCCACTGTGAGGGAGAAGACCTGAAGACCTCGATATGAACACCTGTGCACAGACTCTTCCAAAATCAGAACAGAGAAAATCACCAGAGTTAAGAATAGCTCCAGATGGGCTGGGCCCTGGCTATTTCTAACAGAGGTAGCCCGCCAATAAGCCCCTGCGTGCAAATCTGCATCGGCTCAGCTGAGGAAATGGGACCAAGTCCAGAAACGAGCCTTCAGGCAAATTAAACATTCTAATGCAAACTTTAATTGATACATCATATTTTCTTCTTTCTATGATGGTTGCTTTTATGCCGGGCGAGGCAGAAGCTGACTAAGTTGTGAGCTCAGGCATCTGTTAGGCCGGCACTGAGGCGAACCCGAGGCCGCCTCGGGACCAAGGCCTTCACGCACCGTGCACTTCCTCCTACTTGACGGAAGATCGCACCTCAAGCCTGGCAGAACCAGTTTTGAGATTACTTTCCATTTTGTAGATGTGAAAACAAAAAAATCAAGTAGCATAATTAAAATTAAATAGCTTAATTCCCAGATACACAAAAAAAATTTCTTAAAAACCAATAGGAAAAAAGACAAAACTGGACAAACCCATTCAAAGAAAAGGAAAAACAAATGAACAATCAACAAGTGACATGTGAAAAGATGTGGGAGCTCACTAATAATTAAAGAAATCCAAGTCAGAACGATCACAAGGCCTTTTCCCCACAGTCTGACTGGCAAACATTAGAATGACTGACATTAATCATCCCTGGTGGGGGTGGGGGATCCACTCTCTTACACCTGTGCTGGGAGTACCCGGAGTTCTCAAAACCTGCTAAGGGAGGCTACTCTTCCACAACCCCAAGAAGCACATCTGCCGATATTCGGCCTGTGAAGTCTCCTCCCTAGTGACTTGGAGCTGGATCATGTGATTAGTATTGACCAGTAGGGCTCTGGCCAATGGGTACAAGCAAATTCTTGCAACTGGGACATGTTCTTTTGGAAACTCCCTTTGGAGTCTTATCTTCTTGAGCCCCATATATCATGTCATGGGGACCAAGAAGTTAGGCAAAAATTTCCCATGGAGGAGTCCCCAGCCCAAAGCTCCAGGAGTCTTCTGTAGAGACTGGCCACTCAAGAGACACCACTCACAGAGCTCCCAATCTAGCTGTCAGATGCTGGTAGCCACCTCAGTGTCCTGGCTGACAACATACGGAGCCAAGAGCTAGCCAGCCTAAGACAGCCATGAGACAGTGAAGACACTGCAAAGTGGTGCTGTTGAAGCCACTAAGTTTGGGGGTGGTTTGTTGGATCATAGATTACTGAGATACTTAGTCAAGGAACAAAACAAAACAAACAAAACAAAACTTCCTGTCCTTTGAACAATCTGAGGGACAGATTTACAGAAACATTGTCACAAGTGCTGCTAATTCAACAGCCACTGCATCACTGTTCACAACAGGAAATATTAGGAACTAACCCATCCAGCTCTAGAGCATTAGGTGTATCTATCTATTCCATTACAAAAAGCAAGTAGAGCTATGTGTTCAGATATTGCAGATACTCAAAATAACTACTTAAGCCACATACAAACACCATGATCACTTGTCCGGGATCGGTACCTCAGGAATAAGGCAGAAGCCTGGCGCTTGGGTTCACCATGCTGCCACACCATGGGTTGGCAACTTCCACAGCAGCTGTCTGTGGGTGGCAGCCACGATAAAGAGCATGTTTTCCACTGAGAGTGGTCTGATCAGCTCACCGCCAAGTTCCCTCACAGAACGAGGCAATCAAAGAATGGAAACTGCACTGAACAGGGATCGGGCTGTAAAAAAAAATCTATTTCCTGTGGATTTCTATTTATCTGTTTTAATTTGGGATTAAAATACAAATTTTTCCATATTATTGTCATATTTTCAAAGTCTAAAAGTGGGATACGGACACCAAAATTTCAGCAAGAGAGCTGAAATACACTAGGGATTATTCTAGTCATTGTCTACATAGCTGATGAAGCACATTTTATATCTACCTAGTGCCTGGCAAGGTAACCCCACAATCACTACCCCAACCCCCAAATTCATTTTTATAGCATGAAAAGCTATAGGTATAAGGAACAAGACAAATACTACTTTAGCTAACAGCAGATAGATAGGAGAGTGAAATGGTCTACAGTAGATTTTGAGGCCAGATTTTGAATACTATTGAGTACTATTAACTGTCACTCCTACTATCACTCCTCCTACTATTATTATTTTGATACTAGGGATTGAACCCAGGTACACTTTCTATCCTTCCACTTTTTAAAATTCTGAGTCAGGGTCTCAATAATTTGCTGAGGGCTTTGGTAATTTGCTAAGGCTGGCTTCAAATTTGCAATCCTCTTGCTTCAGCCTCCCCAGCTGCTGGCAATACTAATTTTTTCCCATATTGTTCTCATATTTTCAGAGTCTAAAAAAATGGGATACGGACACAAAAACACCGACAAAATGTTATATCTAGCCTTTTGTATCATTATGAAAAATATCTACCTTTAACATGCACCAAGCTTTTGAATTTCTGAGCCTACAGATTATTGTATGGTCTGCAAAATGTTTACTTGGAATAAGTAGCCCTGAAACCTTTGAAAGGAAAAAGTAGAGATTATCTTTGCTTTATGTTTTCTGAAATATCATACATGAAATATTATAAATCTCAGTTGTTTAATGGTATATACCCAATACTTAAATTTTGGGGATTCTTCATTTTTCCTTTCACTAGTTCAATACTAAAAAAATTTGTACTTTAATCCCAAATTAAAACAGATAAATAGAAATCCACAGGAAATAGATTTTTTTTTTTTACAGCCCTATCCCTATTCAGTGCAGTTTCCATAATACTTGTGAAAACCATAAACATAAAGATTCAAGGTTTATGTTTCTCTCTATTTAGACAATATAACAGCACAGATTTCCTTATTAAGGGATCGCAGAGTTAAGTGCTTCCTTAAAAATATCATTCACTATTTCTGAAATGTTTTTCACTCGTGTTTGCATCATGTCTCAATTTCACAGGACCCAGCTGTACTTGGAAGGATGACCAAAAGCAAACTTCCCGGTTTTCTGCTTGGGGCTCACATGCTGGGGGAGAGCCAGGACTTTATGTGGACGCAGCCTGGGAGGAACCCGCCCAGCACTCCTGACCTCCTCCAGGGGTTCGCCCAACCCTCCCGCTCTCCGACTCTCAGTCCCACAGCTACAGACTGTCCTTGTGCTAAGGGTTCCAAAGTCACACCCTGCACACACCGCCCACTCTTCACCACCTGGACACAGTCACAGTGATGCTGGATTTCCCTCACTGTCCTGTTCTGCTCCCAGTGCCTACAGCCACCAGCCTTTGGCTCTCAACCCCACCCTCCCAACAGACTTCTGACTCCACTCACTTCTCTCAATACATGCACCATGAGATGGTCAGTTATTTATGTATAATTTACTTTTACCAAAAAAAATCTAGTATTGTCACTTCCCCACTGAACACCCCTTACATGGCAAAGAACTAAATCTATCCATCTGCCATGAAGGTGGAGGGCCTGTCCCTGTCTGACCTGGATGCCTCAACCTGCCCACATTCACTACGCCCCAGGCAACTGCCACCTCTACAAATATGCCCAGCAATGTCCTGAGGGGGCTCCTTCCTTGTCCTCAGATATCTGACATCTCAGAGCCCTCAGAACCACACAGTCGCAGTAGCTTTCCCTCCCTTTCATTGCCCCAACCTCTTGCTATCCTTTCTTCTTTTTTTCCCCTTTCTTCTACCAATCATGATCTTATAAGCCATTTGAGGCCTAATCTCCCCCCTCTTAGGACTGTCAGTTCCCTGAGGGTAGGGCTATGCATGATTTATCCTACCTAGCACCTAGCACTGTGCCTGGCTCAAACTAACAGAATAGCACCACGCTGCTAGGTAGTACTGATCGTGCTTGCTTACCAGGCGACCCTTATTCCTCTACAGGCTTACGTGCGGGAACTCAACTAATCCTCATGACGCCTCTGAGGCAGGTCCTATTACTTTCCCAATTTCTAGATGAGGAAAATAAGGCACTAAGATTCTTAACATGTTTCCCACAAACAGAAGGGTGGGAAAGCTGGGGGCCGCCAAACCCAGAGAGCATGCGCTTCCACCTGTTCTGAATGGACAGGTAAGTTGGCAATGGAATAGCAGTGTGAAGAGTGTCCTTAGGCCTGCTTATGGGCAGAGGCATGTACCTTTTCTCATTCCACCAAAGGGGTCCTTGTTGGGTTCATAGGGCATTCTGCCCATCATGTCTGGCATGCTCATGCCCTGCTGGTATGGGGCGTTTGGAGTCATGGAGTTCCGTTTTGGGAATGATGAATCACTCACATCGGAGAAAGGGTCGTGCACACTGATTGTACTGCTTCTGAAGAGATGCAAACAATGAAAGCTAAAATCAGGCACAGGCAAATGCAAAAACTACACTGAGATTTCATCTCACACCAGTCAGAATGGCAGCCATCAAAAATACAAATAATAATAAATGCTGGCAAGGATGTAGTGAAAAAGGAACACTTTTACAAGTTGGTGCAAGTCATCTTACTACAGTGATATATGCATACCCATGTTTATAGCTGAACTATGGAACCAGCCTAGGTGTCCATCAATGGATGAATAGATAGGGAAAATGTGGTATATGTACACAATGGAGTTTTATTCAACCACAAAGAAAAACGAAATTATGTCATCTGCAGGAAAATGGATGGAACTAGAGACCACTGGTGAAATAAACCAAACTTAGAAGGCCAAGGGTGAAATTTTTTTCTAATATGTAGAAGCTGGAGAGGAAAAAGGAAAAGAAAGTTGGAGGGGATCTCATGTAAATTAAAGGGAAATCAGTAAAGGAGAGAGACTGGGATGGGGGGTATGCAGGGAGGGGTGAAGTGCTGGGGAGTGATACTGGCCAAATTATGTTGCCATTGTGTGCATGTATGAATATGTAACAACAAATCCCACTATTATGTACAACTATAATGTACCAATAAAAAAAGTGGAAAGAAAACAAAAAGTGAGAGCTTAATGATAATAGTGGGAGTCAATAAACCAACCTTGAAATTTACCAATGCAAAAACCATCCAAAATAAATCACATGAAAACAGCTAATAATAATCAACATCTAAAAACTCACTAGAAATACTATTTCTTCATTTGGTGAAGTTTGCTCCTGAAAAATCAAAAGATAAATCTGATTCTGGATGGGTCATAGTTCTCTGAACATACCTTCCACCTTGCATTGGGGTCATCTGTCCATGAGGAGTGGAGGCTGGGGTGGGTGGCTTCAGGTCGCCTGGAACCTCTGCCATGGAATTGCTGCCAGTTGACTGGGGGGTCTGTGGGCCTTGCAAAGATCCTGAGTTAGCTGGCGGCAGGCACGGGAAATGGAGAAAGAAAGCAAAGGTTGCCAAGTGGCTGGTTTTGTTTTTTATGTACATAAAAGAAACAATTTCAAATAAGGCACATTGATTGAAATAGTATCAATAATGTACATGTATGGATATGTAACAACAAATCCCCTATTATGTATAGTTATAATGTACCAATAAAAACAGGAAAATAAAAAGAAACAGTACCAATATCCACTGAAAACAGTCAGTAAAATTAGTTGCTTCACATTGTTTATAGTGAAAATTATACTGATCCTTGGAAAGATTATTTTTGAGTAAAATATGTGGGCATATACTTCATTTTTGAGTCATAAAACATTTATACCTTTTGACTGGGTAATTGCTTTCCTAAGCATTTATCCCAAGAAAATAATAAAAAGAAGGATTTAGGCAGAGCAATGTTTATTCCAGTGTTATCTAGTCTAAATGTAAATAAAGAAAAACAGGATAAAATTTTTAGTTCAACAATTGGCACACTATTGTGCTGCGTTAGAAAAAAAATAGAAAACAGTTGTGAGTCTTGGGGAATGAGAAATTTTTAACAGGAAAAGAAATAAGAAATGATACAAAGTATCAATGAGCCTTCTGTTATTTTAACACCTTCTCAACACCTGGGTGTCTAAGCACAGCCCTTAACAACTCAGTTGTTTTTGGAGTTATAAAATCAGATTCATCACGAAAAAACACAAGTTATTCTGGTTTGGAGTTCTTTAATGGTGCTGCTGAAGTTCTGAGATTTTACTTTAAAGGCTCCAGCTTTATCGGGCATCATGGTCCTTAATATGCTGGATGTTCGGCAGACATTGGTTCTACATATTGACTGGGCACGGGTGAGGTGCCTACTGAACTCCAGGTCTCTTCTACACCTGGGTACAGAGTGTAGCAAACTGACAGGAAGGCGACAGCCCTGCCCTCACGGAGTTCACAATCAGGGCGTTCACAACTGGAACCGAGGGCAGGCAGGATGGAGCTGACTGGAAAGGACAACATTTGCTGTTACTGTTTCCTTTCCAAAGAAATACTCAGGGCTCACTATGATTAGCATTATTCACATGTCCCTGCAGAGAAAACGGAGGTGAAACAAGTACCCAGATTACAGGGCACACTGTGAAGGAGGCAGAAATGGGAACGAGTAGATGATTTCTTGTTAGAAAGCCTCTCTCTAAGCACAGACCTTCTGGCCGGATTACAACTGCCTGGCCCTTGGTTTGACTGGTCACAGGCTGTGCTCTATGTGCCATCCACCCTGCATGCCTGGCACACAGAGACTCGAGATTTCTCGGACATGCGGGAAGACTATCTCTACTTAACACAGGGATTTATTTTATTTATTTTTATGTGGTGCTGAGGCTTGAACCCAGGGCCTCACACGCACTAGGTGCACACTCGACCACTAAGTTACAACCCCAGCCCCTAACACAGGCATTTCGAGGAAAAAAATTAATGACTGCTTAACAAATAAAATTTTGGCCAAACCGGGAAATGCATATTGAGCAGGTAGGTCATAATAATAAAAGGGTAAGGCAGTCTTATAAATATACGAGGGCAGTCCTGCAGACCAGCCGCCCCCAGGGCTGCAGATGAGAAACCGCCTGCTCCTTAAAGCAAGCAGGCTCCCCACGGCCTTCCTGAAACCAGGCGCACAGGCTGGGATTATAGAATGACCCTTATGTACAAGTACTCACATTTACAGCTAATAAAATTAGAAAAAAAAAAAGGAAAAATTCTCTCTTGCCAGGGTTTTTCCCTTTCCTTTCAGGGGGAAAAAAGCAGCCTTTAGGAGGAGGCAGGGCTAGCTCTCTAGGACATCCCTACGTTTTGCCAGAAGCTACAAATGTATACTCTAAAGTAAACAATGGAAAGGTTACTGAAGGTTAAGTACATTCACAGCTTCACACAGAACAGCCAGGCTCCTAGCTGGGAAGATAATTTACACAGCAAGGAACCGGTGCCCTAGTTCTGGTGGGAGGGGCGTGGGGAGGAGGGTGAGGAGAATAGCAGCTGATGTGTCCCAGGTCTGGTGACTGGAGGTCAACCAGAGGGCACCTTTGTTTATAGCCCAGCCCCTTTCTCATTTATCTTCCACTGAGGATTCCCTAGTTGGATCCGTGACAGGTTTTGTGACATCACCTGTCAACTAATAATAGAAATTCAGTCAGCCACCTGCCAGCAAAGATGGATGGGTTTTTGGTTACAGCCTTACTAATTGAATGTAGAGCTTCCGTGCCTGGTTCTCCATAGAGCCCTCAGCTCCCTCCGCCCTCTGGCCTGCAGGGGCCACCTGGTTGGTGGTTCCTGTGCCTGGCTGATGTCTGGAACTGCTCTGCGATACTCTATAGGTTTAGTAATAGAGACCCCTTGGTGCCTTTAGAGATGCAGACCACGGCCCAAGGCCTTGTCCAGGTTCATGTGGGCACACCTGGGTGTCTGGTGTGCCTATGCAATGTAGCCCCAGAGGCGAAGAGGTCATGACTCCAGTGACCGACTATACGGATATCTTGAGGCACAGAAGCCACATCAAATCAAAGCTGTACCAATGCAATGCTCTTAGGATACAGGCAAGTGATTTAGCTTTTTCTTTTCATTTCTTTTTCTTGGTACTGGGGATTAAACCCAGGGGCACTCCACCATTGAGCCACATCCCCAGCCCTTTTATATGTTTCTATTTAGAGGCAGGATCTCATTGATTTGCTTAAGGCCTTGCTAAACTGCTGAGGCTGGCTCTGAATTTGTGATCCTCCTGTCTCAGCCTCCCCAGACGCTGGGATTACAGGCGTACGGCTGTGATTTAGCTTTTTCATTTGGTTCAGAGACTATTTGGACAAAAATCTAGAATGTTTCTTGGGAATCACTTAGTTTAGTTTACCTGGATGTGCTGATAGGAAAAAACTGGAATCATGTTCTTCTTTTTTTGGTACTGAGCATTGAACCAAATGCGGCTTACCCACTGAACCACATCCCCAGTCCTTTTTTATATTTTATTTAGAGATAGGGTCTTTCTGAGTTGCTTAGGGCTTGCCAAGCTGCTGAGGCTGGTTGTGAACTTGTGATCCTCCTGCCTCAGCTTCCTGAGCCTCTAAGATTACAGGTTGCGCTACTGCATCCTGCTATAATTGTGGGTTTTTTAAAAGTATTTTTAAAAAATATATTAAAATTTTTGATGGACCTTTATTTTATTTATTTGTATGGGGTACTGAGAATCGAACCCAGTGCCTCATGCATGCTAGGCAAATGCTCTACCACTGAGCTACAACCCCAGACCTATAATTGTGTTCTTAATGACTTCAAAGAACACCTTTTTTTTTTTTTATTGCTGAAAATTAGATTAAATATTATGGAATAATCTTTTATGAGATACTGACATGGAAAATAGTTAGGAAGATTTTTAATTTCCTTCTTTGGCAATACAAATGTTTCAGAGATATTCTCCTTAGTGGTGGCATTAGGCCCAGACAGGCCACCAGACGGGTGCATGGACAACTGATGCAAGGTCTGACTTCGGATGTGAGGATGCCACTGCTCACTACCCTCTGGCCAGTCTTTGTGGGGCCCACAGAACTCAGCAGGGTGCTCTCCTGGCTGGCCACTGACTTCACAATCAAGGCCAGGAAGCTCTGTTTTCACTGCCTCCTGTGTCACAGGCAGGACCCCAGCTCCATCTGATCCAAAGGGTGCATGCACAATCTAACCTCTTTTGGGTAGCTCAAATGTAATGCCATTCTAAAGGCAGCAGTTTAGAAAAGGGGAAGGAAAGAGCCAGCGGTTAGAACAGGCCTCCCACTTTCTGGAGGATCTGGACTGTGGTGGGGCTTCCAGTGCTGGGCTGAGGCATGCTAGGAGAGCAATCCCCACACAAGCACAGACTGTTCAGGGACGTGCTCCTTCCCTTGGATCTTTGCAGACATCACCACTTTGTTCCCTGCACCCCACTGAGTTTTTATTTTGGAAAAATAGTTTCAGAGCTGTTTGTGACAAGCTTCTTTCATTCTGTGAACTCAATGTAACACGCAATTTAAAAAATCAGATTTCCCAGTTTTTCAGAAACACCCTAAGTGACAAAGGCTCAGGATTTTTAAGGGTGGGGTCAGAGAGGAGGATTCCTCCTTATACTTGGAACCTACAGGTCTAAATCTAGGTGTGTTTTCTACAAGTGTACTCCAGGCTGAAAAGTGTTTATGTGAGACGGCTTGACTGGCAACCTTAGATACCAGCTTTGCCATCCAGACAGCAGCTGGAGGCAATCATCAAAAGGGAACAACTCCCTTCTCTGCCTTCTAGGTTATCAACCATTTATCTGCTACAAAAGACATTGTCATACAAACTGAGGCATTTGGTGGGTTCAGTGAATGAGCTAGAGTCAAACACCCCAAATCTGACCTCCTGTGGCCCTGCTGCGTGGCTGTGAGGAACTTTGCTTCTTCCTGCCTTTGCTTTCTCAGGGGTATCTAACAGCATCAAGAGCCAGGACTGATACGAAGGCAAAGTGATGAGCATGCTGAAAGCTCCTGGCCCACTGTATACAACCAGAACAGAGCGACAGCTTTGCTCAGAGCAGGCTGTGCTTACACCAGCAGTGTGTGTAGCCTCTGTCTCCTGTGTAGGGACAGGGAACAGCACAGCAAAGTCACTGCTGAAAGTCACTGGGGTTGGAAATGTCCTCTGTAATAACGAGTGGCCAAAAACAGAATTGGTGGGATTTTCTCGGGTGGGAAGGTTACCTAGAGCACAGCATGCTGCCAGCTTCTTCCTGCCTCAAGTACTGCATTTACTATCAGAATAAGAGACTTGGTAACTTCAAATCTGAATCCTAAGTGGGAGAATGAAGGCCAGTGGGAGAGCTGCAAAGAAGGGCAGGCTCTCCCAGGGGCTGGAGAGGCAGGCACAGGCACCCTGTCTGCCTGGAGAGCCACACGCATGCAGGGTCCTGACTCTGGACTCCGTCTAAGCTCACCACTCAACCCCTTTCAGAAGTAGGGATGGACGGATCTTGATGGTGGTTCACAGGATTCCTGCGAAGTGAGAACCTGCTGGGTAGGGGACATCAGAAACCAAGTACGAATTTCATTTTGCTAATATACAAACCTGAACCCTGGGAAGAGGAAGGGTTGGCACTAGCCAGCTGTTATACCTACAGGTGACAGGGTGCAGCAGGGCTAAATTTCGGAGCAGGTGAGTGTGATGTTTATTTTATGCAGTTATGTGGCGTATTTAAAAACTCTTGTATAAGAAATAAAGACATATAGCTCAGAATTGCAAAGTCCATTTTGACTAAATCAGGTAAAAGCAAAAGAGTGAGGCCTTTCAAGTGCCGACCACAGAGGGCAACACCCCAAATCTTATGCTCACTTTCCTAAGCACTGCCAGTGGGTCCAAGTAAACAATAAAACAAAAGGAGACACCACTTCCTCTCACAGGTCTGGAACGCTCCTCCTCTCCTCTCTCCCTGTCCCCACAGCTGTGCAGCCTCCAGTTCTGGCCTCAAGCACCCTGGGCTTCCCTCTGCCAGCTGTAGCGCTGCCACCTACCAGGAGATGGCGGCTGGAGTTTGGGCTGCTTCTTGGTGTCCCCGGTGCTGAAGACTTCGGGTGGGGGCTCCTCCCCTCGCTCGGTCTTGCACTCGAAGGCGAACAGGTACTGGATATACTGCTTTTTCAGGGAGCTTGCCGCACTGCTTGAAGTGCCAACATGCAGGCTGGTGGCCAGCTCACGCCACTTCTTGTTTTTATTAACCTAGCAGAAACAGACAAAGAGAAGAAATAGCAGGGTCACTGGTCTGCAGCACAGTGGCTTGTTTAAAGCCAGGAGACAAAAAAAAGCACTTAATGTCTCGGCTGACTTTTTTTCATCTGCCTCTTTTAACTAATGCTCATTACTCCCACTCGCAGCGCAGACAGCGTTCACAGTTATGAAGCCATTAAGCAACCTGCTGATAGCGACATAAAGGCACGCTCACAGAGGCCTTCTACTGGCTCCAGCTCCTGAGGCCTCGCACAGGGTCCTCCGGTGAAGGGTACTCCTGCTCACACCCATCCCACCCCATGGCCAATTAGGCAAAAAGGGCATCAAAGAATGGCTTTAAAAGTAATAGCACAGTTTTTCAATTTAAGTGTGCTTTTCTCCAACAGCCAGTAGTTCCCAAACTGAGACTGTAACTCTGGCCATGTCCATCTGTCCACTGCCCTCTCACTGGAGGATTCTTGTGGTGTGAGCAGAAGCAGCACCTGTGCAAAAGCGGTGAGTCCTTGTCACCAAATGCCCCCAATTTAAAAACACGTTGTGGTGCCGTGGCTCCCTGGCGGAGCAGCTTGCCCCCAGCTCAGAGGCGTGGGTGGGGGCCTACATTTGTAAGTACTGCACAGGATGAGCCCCACTCAGGCTGGATACACCTCCACTGCAGAAGGGATGGGGACAAGTGCAGGGACAGGGCAAGACGACAAGGAGGTCCTGAAGTGCAACATAAAGATTCAGGGCACTATTTCACCTCATTCCCTCCTGGGAGCAGGTTATGAAAGGTCAGACACACAGTGAAACGTGGAGACCTACAAATGACTTGGGGCAGGATGTGCCTTTGGTGTCTGCTGTGCTAAGTAGCGCTGAAGGGTCAAGGAGACAGCAGCTTTTCATGAAATGTTGAATTTCTAGAGTCCACCTTTCTTACAGGGCTCTTTACGTCCATGCATCTAGTACTGAATGACGCAGAATAAACCAACTGTGGAATGCTAAGGGAAAAGCCTCTTCTGCCACTTAACACAAGGCTGCAAACAGCAGGCCTGTGGCTGCCTCAAAACCAGTCAGCATGCTGTTTGGGGCAGCCTGAGCGGGTGAGTTTGAGCTGGTAGGTGCACAGGTGCAGCTGTCCCCAGCTGCATGTGAGTAACCCTCTCATTAGTAAGCTAGCAAAGATTCTTGTCTGCAGATCCAATCTGGGTATGCACTGCTGAGAGAGTCACAATAAGGTAGCCCGACAACTGCTACATGATACCAGTTTGATGGTCTTGCTGATTCTGAAGTCTCTGTTGGAAAAAGTCTAGGTGTAGGAACGTGGGGAGTGGGAGAAGGTGGTGGGAAGAGGTATCTGGATCACTCTCTCTGATGACCATCACTCACATGGGTCTGTGTCACATAACTCGTATCCGATGATGCAGAGTCTTGGAAAAAGCTTTAATAGTTTCTGTCATAGGCCTTAGTCGGGTGTCCAGGTGAAAGGGTGTCCAGTGGGAAGGCCAAGAGCAAAAGTCCCCTCTGTGTCCCCCAAAGTGGTAGCATGAGACACAGCAGGCCCTCAGTGACAATTATGAATGAAGACTTGCCCTTGGATAGTGATCTGGTCTCCTTGGTCACCAGGAATGGAGGCTGTCTTATTTCACTGGTCTGGGGTGGGACCCAGGAGATTTTCATACACAGCTGGGGTGGAGAACTACTGGGGGATCAAAAAGGCATGTTTTGGAGTCAGACAGATCTGGCTCTGCTACCTACTGTGGGAATGTCCCTGGGCCACTATATTATTGTACTTTATCCTGTTATTAGAGTTTCTTCATCTATTCTACCCCATCCCCTGTACTAGGTATTGAACCCAGGGCCTTACCTGTGCTAGGTAAGCATTCTACCACTAAGCTACTTCCCCAGCTTTTTTTTATTTTTAATTTTGAGCCAGGGTTTCCCTAAATTGGGCCTGTGATCCTTTTGTCTTAGCTGAGCTGCTGGGATCACAGACTTGACACATGGCCTCCTCATCTAGGCTTTGGGTCTGCTGACCCTGCACCTTGTGGGCATATAGAAAGACAGAGGCCACAGTGTGACACTAGCTCATGATTTAGTACCCTCACATGTTTCTATGACAGGATATGTCCAACCAACTAGGCTCCTTACTAACAAATGGTAGGGCTGGGGTGAGCCAAGTAGGTGCCCGGGTCATAAGGTTTAGGGACACTTATTTTGAGAGTTAGGCAGTTGCTCACCAGGACCACAAGCACCTCCTGGAGCTCTGTACCAGGCCGCCTCCCCTGTCCTGTTCCAGCCCAGCTCTACTACACACCCACAGCAGCCTCCTCACTGCCCAGAGGCCATGGGCGTGGCTTTACCAGGATGACTTAATTTCTGTGATAAGTTGCTCTGGACAGGGGGAAACAGTGAATGTGATTTATATCTGATCCAGATAATTAATTCAGTCATTCACAAAACATTTCTAAAGTGTTTACATGAACTCATGGCAGATTCCAGAGAACTCTAGAGCTACTGAGGTCACACTGCATTGTGGCAGAGCCACCCCTTTCCCCAACCGGAAGGTGACTTTCCAACAGGTTTAGCATTTCCTTTGTGAGAGAAAAACCTGATTCCAGCCAGGTATGGTGGTGCACTCCTGTAATCGCAGTGGCTTGGTAGACTGAGGCAGGAGAATGATGAGTTCAAAGCCAGCCTCAGCAAAAGCTACATGTGAAGCAACTCAGTGAGACCCTGTCTCTAAATAAAATACAAAATAGGGCTGGGGATGTGGCTAGTGGTCGAGTGCCTCTGAATTCAATCCCTGGTACCCCAAAAAAGAAAAACAAACAAAAAACCCCCTGAGTCCACATATTCAATGAAAGCTTCTGTAAGATTCTGCTTGCAATGACTCCTAATTCATTTACTCATTCTTACCTGGGCCAAACCTCCAATCTCTTTGACACAGACATAGAGCCGGAACAGGTCCAGGGGCTTCTTGCCCACTGCAGGCAGACTGGAGACCGGGGAGCCCCTCTCTTCCATGAATGTCAGATACCGGTCTACCCACAGCTTCCTCTCTGGCTCGTTCCCCAGCTCGTAGACCTTTGTGATCTTCTCCCCAGTGGTGGTGGATGAACTGGACTTCTAGTGCCAGAGAGAGCATGTGGAGATGGGCAGGGAGGTGGAGGGAAGAAGGTGAGGAAACAGTTGTGAGCCCACCCACAAGAAGAGACGAGAGTAAAAACTACTGCTATCACATGACAGTCAGGAATGAAGGCTACTAGTTCAGGCACAGCCTACACATTCTCTTAGTTAAGATTTTACTTTGACTTTAAATAAAAGGGCCCAAACTTTCCCTTTTAGACACTTAAAAAACTAAACCAAAATAAACAGAAACCTGCTTTAACTTATAAGCGTTGAATCCCAGAAGGCAACATTCCAATGAAGTGTCATGGCATTTTTTAAAAGAAAAGGTTCTAGCTCAGAGAAGGATCACAGTGAATTAAAAATATTACCTGTTATATTGCAGAGCCCCCAAACTAAATCTATTCCTACTTTTCCTTGTCATACCAAGAATGGCTAGTGTGGGGCCAGGGCTGTGGCTCAGTGGCAGAGTCCTCACCTGGCATCTGTGAGGCACTGGGTTCGATCCTCAGCACCACATAAAAATAAATAAAGGTATCCTGTCCATCTACAACTAAAAAAAAAAAATTAAGTAATAATAATAATAAAAGAATGGCTAGTATGTGTCTCCTGAAAACCCTGAATCACTCAGAGGAGTGACAGCGGCACTTGCTGAGAAACACAAAGTCTGGCCCTGAGCTGGTGCATGTGTCGGGCCAGGGTTCAGCTCTTCATGGCTCTCCCCACTCAACACTGCCCGAGCTGCTGTCAGGCGAAGGGGCTCTCAGATTCTTCTTTTAATAGCTCTCAACTCCTGCTCCAGCCACACGTGGGCCTCACCCTCGGCACATCTGGAACACATGTTCACCTTCCCTCTGGATCGTGGGTCTGGACAGGTGGCTCTCTCAGGTCTATGCAGCTCTATTACATTCCTTCCTATCTTTTGTCTCTATCCTTGTAATAATGTATATGTATTTATAATATCTGTAATGCTAGGGTTATTGTGTAAAACCACTGCTAAGTTCTCAATAAAGATTTCCCTGGGGGCCGGGGCTGTGGCTCAGTGGTAGAGGGCTGGCCTGGCATGTGTGAGGTACTGGGTTTGCTCCTCAGAACCACATAAAAATAAATAAATAAAAAAAGGGTATCGTGTCCACCTACAACTAAAAAAATTAAAAGAAAAAAAAAAAAGATTTCCCTGGAACAAATAATTTATTTCATTCTTTCCTGAGTATTTATTAGGCTGTCACTGGCAATATAGTCACTATTTGAAACAGTCCTGTTTTTTTTCCTTTTAATTTTTTTAGCATTAACATGGTTTAAAATATATAGCTGAAATTTGGTGTGTGGGGGGGTGGTCAATAACATGACTGACACTGTGCTTGGCTGTTACACCTTATTTCTTGACATGACCCTTAGTAAAAGTCAGGCGCTGAAAAAGGATGCCTGAGAACGCAACCCTCAGAGCCTCTAGAGTGGCAGCTCCCGTCTGCCATGCCACTGTCCAAAGCCATCTGGCTGCCGTATTAAGCCGTCACCTTTAGAATTACTGAGGCATAAAATCTTTACATAAAATATATAATTATGGGTGACGCAGTTGATGTAGATTAAAATGTAGAATGGTAGGATAAAAAATAGTGTGAGCTTTTGAGAACTGACTTTGGTGTTGATGTTAAAACTTCAACTCTCTTAGAAATTATCATGATCATTGCTACTTTGTGGTACTAGGAATTTAACCTGTTGGCTCGCTACCACTGAGCCAATCTGCAGTCCTTTTTTAAAATTTTTGAAATAGGGTCTCGCTAAGTTGCTGAAGCTAGCCTTGAATTTGCAATCCTGCCTCAGTCTCCCAAACTGCTGGGATTATAGGCATATGCCACCACTCGTGGCAAGAAATTATTTTAGGTAAGAACTTAAACCATACATCCATATCCATATATATATATATATATATATATATATATATATATATATATCTCTGTATGCCCACATGCATCCAGGTTATGTACACATATGTCCTTCCTTCTGTGCTATTGTACCCCAGGATTATTGGAGGTGGAAGACAAAGTGTCTGCACAGCTCACACTGGACTCTCAGACTGACTGCACTGCAGGACATGGGTGTCATCAGCAGGATGCTGCTGCCAGGTACATGCTAGTACTGAGCTGCTTTTCTTTTGGGGAGACACACTAGAAAAAACAAGTCCTATGTTTTCCAAAAGTGAAGTTTTGAAATAATAAGAAAATGAGGAAAAAAGTATTACCTCCTGTAATCAGTTAAATTAAAAAACGTCTTCCTTCTTTCATGTCACTTGTGAAAAACTGAGAGGTAAAGTTTGAGATTAAAGATATGAAAAATAAAAGCAATCATTTCAATTTAAAATGACTAATTTTATCCTTACCCTAAATTTAAGATCCATTTGCCATCTATTTAGTTTTTTAAAATTTTTTTTTTTTAGTTGTAGTTGGACATAATACCTCTATTTTATTTACTTATTTACATTTAGGTGGTGCTGAGGATTGAACTCAGTATCTCGCATGTGCTAGGCAAGTGTTCTATCACTGGGGCACAACCCCAGCCCCTCCACCTGCCATTGGTCCTCTCTAAACTGAGACTGGGGAGTGGCTAATCACAACTGGGGTGTAGACAGGTTGCTCCTGCTATCAGAAGGCAGTGATGCCTATAACTTGGAGCAGGCCTGAGGTAAGATTAGCTGCTTAGTTTGCATATATGTATTTTAACTCTTGTCACCTTTCTTTGTTAACTTGTGCTATCTCAATTTGTTCTCCTAAAATTAGAAAAATGTATAAAGATAAAAGGTTTATTTTTTAATATTAAGATCTTCCTCCAAAGTACTTTTATGGCACCATAACAAAGGACACTGCACCGCACAGTCGGGCCTCCGTCTGTGTGACACCAATCCTGGGGGACTATTTGAATCTGCCAGCACTTCATGTTTCCTTTGCAGTCCTTCGTTACACAGTTGGTAAAACTGTTTGGCGTGTGCTTGCTGGTCTGACTGCACTCTTGACTAGACTTTAGGTTGAATCCACAGCACTTAGCACAGTGGCCATAATACTGGTGGTCCTTATAGACATTTGTGTATGAAGGTTCCAATGGAAGGAAAAAGTGTGAAAAGTCTGGCAGCATTCAAATAAGAACCAAGAACCGATTCAAACAGCCTTTCCACAGGATTTCAGTGAGAAAGGTGTGAAGTGAATGTGGATGCAATCAGCAAGACTGCAGGCTGAAAGGGCTATGCTCATCGCTAGCATCTCACAGCTCCACACCCAAGGCCTGCTCACTAGCCAAATTATTACCAGAGCCAGGATCTGGGTGTCTGAATATAGAAAAAGGACAGGAGGAGAAACAAGGCTCAGTAGATAAAGAGCACATGTGTCATCGCTCTTGCCACTAACCAGGCTCAACACACCTCTTCTTGACTGTAGGCGTTAGCCATGGGCTAAGGATGCAGCTCAGTGGTAGAGAACTTGCCTACCATGTATAAGGCCCTGGGTTCCTTCCCCAGGACTGAAGAAAAGTAAAACAAAAAAATTAATAGACTACAAGGAAACCTCTAGATAAAGGTCTTTACCATAGGCTCCCCTCACCATGCCCCCAGCAATGGACAAGCGATGGCCCTTCAGAAAGACCACGTAACTTTTCCAGGTCACTAAGGACCATCTAATGCTGCTTGAGTGCTGTAAAAATTACATCCTACTGTTCTGAAACTGTTGTGGAGGCAAAGAAAGGAATGTAAATTGCTAAAAAACTACAGCAAGACATTCTTATGGTGCCACAAATGTTTTCATTGCATATACTTTAATTAAGCCTAAAAGTACATTTCCCTCATGCCTTTTAGGCAGATTTACATTTTCACAGTCTTTACCATATGTTTGGTGATATGTATATGTGCATGTGTATGGACAAATGTTTATTTTTATTTTAGAATGTTTTGTAACAAAACAATGTTGGTCCACAGTACACTGTCAAAGCAACAGCAGGCTTATTATTTTGCCTCTTTCAGTCCTGCTGTTAGATGGGCTTTATTAGGGACATTATTAAGAACAATTGCAAGCACAAATTGATGTGGTATCTCAGACAGAGCAGTTAAATATTCCTGAATTGCATATATTTGCAGTGATTGGATAGTGAAAATGACATGTGGTCCTTCATGATGCCCTCCTTTGGTCCCCCTTCCTGAATTACCAACTCATTAAAAAAAGTGGCTATTGCACAATATAGAGCAAGAGTATAACAACTTTCACTTTAGCAAACAGCTTCTCTAGCACCAGAGCCAAAAGTTTGCTTGTAAAATTTTAAACATAAAACAATTTAGAAGACTAAGGAATGTAGAAATATTTAGTAAAAGTTAATATACAATTTCAAGTGTAATTGTTTTAGAAACAGAAAATGGGGTCAAGGATTATTTGATTTTCTTACATTTAAGTAGAAAGTGGGATTTTGATGAGCTCTTCCTACAGACTTGCTGGATGGAGGCAATCTGACCAGTAAGCTAGAAGCCAGTACCCACCCTCAGTCATTCTTTGTAATTCTGAGATTAGCAAGGAGAGCATTTACACATGGTCTGTTTGTAGTGTCTTTTTTTGTTTTGTTTTTTTTTTAGTTGTAGACAGAAACAATACCTTTTATTTATTTATTTCTATGTGGTGCTGAGGATGGAACCCAGGGCCACACATTTGCTAGGCAGTGCTCTGACACTGAGCCACAAACCCAGCTCTGCAGTCTCCTTTTAGTAAATTATTATTCTTAATTATTGTCTGAAGTTTTAAAGACCATTATTTTCTACCTCTGAAATTTTTCCTCTGAGCCAATGTGCGAGTGTGTTTGGAACATTATTTGAGTTTTACTTCTTCATTTAAAAGCATTACTGATCCAAAATGCCGTTTCCTATATAAAGAGAGGAAAGAAGGAAGAAAGAAAGAAAGGAAGGGGGAGAGAGAGGGAGGAGGGAAGGAGGAAGGAAAAATAACCAGGGTGGATTATGGGAAAAAAAACCCCACACAATGTTGCTGCCTTCTGAGACTCAAAGCAAATAACATAGACACCCCAAAACTAAGGAGTCAACTCTCCCTGTTCTTCAGCCCTGCTTCACACATCCTGGAAGCATTGCATGTCTCATCTCGGGTTGCAATGGAAACACATCTCCAGGGAAGGCAAGAACAGAGTGCCCTTTCTTCCTCTGAAAAGGAAAACGCTGGTTGTACCAGAGCTCCGTGTGAATTTCACAAACATTTACTAGAAAGACCAACTCTTCAACCCGTCAAGCTCTATCTATTTAACCCAGTGAGCGGATAATCAATAGCAGACTCCCTCTGGGTTTTGACTAGATTGCCAGATCCCTCATAGCCAGAGTGGTCTTCCCTCTGACTCACTTTTCCTGGGCTGTGCTCTTCAATTCGTTGCCTTACAAAATTAGCCTGTTAATTAAGCCTTCTTGGCAACTAATTACATGTTAAAGATTTTTCAAAAAGATCTTTTGATTCCCTATATGAATGTAAAACAAAGGTTACTACAGCACATTACTCTCTCTCTCTTTTTTTTTTAATGACACAGAATTAATTTCTTTAGTAGGCCCAACTCTAAGGACATTAAGGCTAAAAGAATTCCCTGATACACACAATACCATTTGTTATTTATATATCATATGGAAATCACACGTATTTCAAGATTATCAGCAGTCTTGTGCAGAACACCATTTTTCAATCTCAACTGATTGCAATATAAGTACACATTATTAATCTAAAAATTCACATGCACTAACATTTCTGTAAGTTTGTTGTTAATTCAGACATATGATTTGAAAATGAAGCAGGGCTGATGTTATGCCACACCATACCCAGGTTGTATATTTATTTATTTAGGTAGGCAGTTTTGAAATGTTTCAGATGGAACAGCCCAGGACAGACTTAGCTGGGCCAAATGTACCACTTAGTCCATAGCTGCCATCAGTTCCCATGTAAATGGAGAAACAACTTGTTTGGAGAATGCCCCCTGAGTTCAGGCCCAGCATGTTTCGTGCGGGGGCACTTCACCAAACAGCTGTTACCAGAAACCAACTTTTACAATGCACATAAACAGTACTCATTTTATTACAAATGCAATCATTTATAAAGAAAACCTTTTCATGGATCAATAATAAAGAAAAAGTCTTATAAAACAAACCAACAAGCAAGCATTAACGTAGAATTAATTAATTATCCAAAAACCCCAAAAAACAAAAATAACAAACAACCAGAGCCACTTACAGGGCTTGATGGAGTCTTTGGCCAGCCTGGGCTGCTAATGCTATCGCTCTCATCTCCATGAAAGGAGGAGATGCTAGCAGAGCTGGGGGACATTGGGGAAGGGACTGGCAGGTTGCCGGGGGTTGGGGGCTGAGAAATACCCTGAGAGCTGTAGCTATCCTGTGGTAGAGGAATAAAAAAAAAAAAATGACAAAGGTAGGGCAAACTTTATTTAAAATAACAAAAAGCACATCCAGTTTAACAGACTAATTTTTATATATATGAGATATATATAATTATATATATATATATATATGAGATATATATAATTATATATATATATATAGACATATACAAACACACACACAAACACATGTATAAGGTATTAAAACAACATTCTTAATTAGTAATGATTTGGTAAGTTTGCTGGATGCTGGATAAGGCCACAAAGCCACCATGCTCACTTCAAGCTTACATGGAATGCTAAGCATGGGTTACCCCTTATGAAAGAAAGGAAAAAAAAAAAAAAAGCTGTTCACCTTATTTATGAAATAAGGCAGGAAAGCAAAATATTAAGTATGTTGTTGTTGCTGGGCGGCCAAAACAGGAAGCTACAAACTGAAGGCAGAGAAAATGGCTGCAAGGATCAAAACCAGGCAAGATCCCTCACTTCTCCCCACCCCCAAAGCATTTCTCAGGTGGGTCTTTTCCCCACCCCCTCCCCCAACATGAGTTAATGCCATAAGAACTAGTAACTTTCAGATCCACACCATGGAGGGGGTGGGGAAAGAAAAGACTAGAACATGTTGCACAAAATGAAGGCATGCAGGAGAGAAGAGACCAAGAGAACAAAAAGGGTAGCTAGCACCAGGGCAGAGTAGCAGCATGGCAGCTTTGGCCAGGCAGCGCCCACACCGCGTGCAGGGGAGGAAGTACCTTTGACTTGCTCTCGGGCTGTGGAGTGCCTTCTTCTTTGCCATCTGCTTTGAGAGGCACGGGCAGTTTGGATTCACCGGGAGACATCATATCTGCAAGACCCATAGATGCTAATCGAAAACAGGAGAAAGAGTCAGGATTATACATGTGATTTGTCCGACTGTGCTGCCAGCACTGTTACTGAGTAAGGCATGGGACACCTGAGTTTTCCTTGAAGGAAGAAAAGAAGAGAGAAATGGTAACCGGGAGCATTCTTATTTCTGAAATGTGAATAGCACCACATTTTGGCAATCCTTCTTGTAAAAAAAAAAAAAAGAAAAGTGACAACCATTCTGTATGTTGAAGACCTACCCCACCGAAGGCCAACTTATTAAACATTATTTAGTTATAACAGAGTAGGCAACAAATGGAAATAAGCAACTGTTTACATGCTCATCAGGGGTTGGAAGCAAACACTAGGTATATATATCCATCCATTACCTGGGTGCCAGAGGGCTTAGTGACTTCTGATATCCTCAATTCAAATAATATATAGTTTGTGAAATTATTTGAAACTTCTTATTGCTTCATTCAAATTTTTTATTTATTGCACACGGTCTAGTCTATAATAAGGGAAGATGATTAGCCAAATGACTTCAAAAACAATAACTGGCAAAGACTTTATGCAGGGAAGGCTGTGCATTTCTTTGCAAGGTGCTGGGGTGTCCCTGCAGCCTGGCACACTACTTCCAGTCATCAGCCCCTCGACAGCCACCTCAGATCACCACTGCAGGGGGAAAGTCACCCCCGCAATGGGCTCCTTCTAGGCACCACAGCTTCACCAGAGAACACTTAATTTACACACATTTATCACAGATACTAACGGACATCTTCAGGTTAAAACGATGGGTTTCGATTTCTTTCTAAAGGAAGAACAAGGATTCAGCAGGGAATTGGTATAACTATCCAGGGAATCACAGCTGAATTTCCAGAGAACCCTGCTGTGAAAACCATCTGTACAACCCTGACTGGAGGGGCTTCGAGTGAGACATCAAACAGATGCGTGGAGAGGACAGTGAGGCGGGGAGGCGAGGGGGTGGGAGAGAGCATGAGCCTTATAAAGGAGGGGAAACCAGAAAACGCTCCCTGTCAGAATCACAGGAACCCGAGGTCTGATGGGCAGGACCCGGTTCACATGCTGCAAAGGCGAGAGTGCTGGCTCAGCCAGGCCGTACACACGGGGCACCATGTGCCAAGGGTGGGGGTGGCAGCTTTAAAAAAGACTCCACAGATTGCCCACTACAAAATGATTATTGCACATATTCATGTATTACTATGTTTTAGAAAATAATTAGTTTTAATTATAGCAGTGAGAGAGTGAGCAGGCTCTGGTGAATTAGCTGGCAAGCTCCGTGGTGCTAATTTGCTAATATCGTTAGCATCGCTGCAGGTTGAGACCATAGGTCCTGCCAAAAAGAGCCTACCGTGCCACGTGCCCACGAGTTTACATCAGCACACTCAATAATACACTCTGAAATCCTGTATTTTCCACCATGGACACACTGGCTGGTTTTTCAAAGCCCATTCGCAGCCCAGTCAGCCCTTAAAGTCATCACAACACACACAAATCATAATTGGGATGTTTTTCTTTTTTTTCAAATTACTTTCAATACTTAAACTTTAAGAACTGGAACAAAAAGCTTTTTCAAGTGATGCAGCTGCAGAGAAAAATCTATTGGGATCAGCTAAAAATGCTGTTATTTTTGTGAATGTGTGAAACCTCAAAAAAGCAGCTGAGAGATGTTACACCAGGAAGACAGCCTTGTTCAAAGTGCTGGATTGATTTCGTGCAGTTTTATCTCTGGGGTCTAACAAAGTAAGAACCTGTACATTGAAAAACACTCCTTCCAGAAGAACAGAAGGGTCAAAAACCGGCACAAGGTGAGGAGAGGGCCCTGTGCACCACAGCTGCACAGCCCTGCTCTGTCTCTCATGAGGGTCGCAAGAATGACAGCACCCAGCTCCAGAGAACGCCGGGAGGCCGTGGCACGTGGCTTCTGCTAAGGCCTGCTTCTCCACTGGTGACGGCTTACTCACAGTTGACAGTATTTCTAAGTCATGTCTGAATATTATTTTGAAAATAGGAATAGTAATATCATATTTTATGCATTAAAGGTGTTAAAGTACACATAAGCAATTTCAAATCATAAAGAACTGGGCTAATATGTATTATGATAATTAGTGATAATTACTGACTTAAAAACCAGACTTACATGACTATAAGCATATGTTGGTTTGAAACTCCTCAAGTTTCTTCATTCTCTATTATACATTTTAAAATGGGCATTTTGGTCAGAGACACGCCGTCTGATAGAAGAAAAAGTTGGCTACGATCTACATATTGTGGGGTCGGGCTCCAAATTCCTCAATAGGACGCCCATAGCACAAAAGTTAATAACTAGAATCAACAAATGGGACTTACTCAAACTAAAAAGTTTTTTCTCAGCAAAAGATACAATAAGAGAGGTAAATAGACAGCCTACATCCTGGGAACAAATCTTTACTCCTCACACTTCAGATAGAGCCCTAATATCCAAAGTATACAAAGAACTCAAAAAATTAGACAATAAGATAACAAACAACCCAATCAACAAATGGGCCAAGGACCTGAACAGACACTTCTCAGAGGAGGACATACAGTCAATCAACAAGTACATGAAAAAATGCTCACCATCTCTAGCAGTCAGAGAAATGCAAATCAAAACCACCCTAAGATACCATCTCACTCCAGTTAGATTGGCAGCCATTATGAAGTCAAACAACAACAAGTGCTGGCGAGGATGTGGGGAAAAGGGTACACTTGTACACTGCTGGTGGGACTGCAAATTGGTGCAGCCAATTTGGAAAGCAGTATGGAGATTTCTTGGAAAGCTGGGAATGGAGCCACCATTTGACCCAGCTATTCCCCTTCTCGGTCTATTCCCTAAAGACCTAAAAAGAGCATGCTACAGGGACACTGCTACATCGATGTTCATAGCAGCACAGTTCACAATAGCAAGACTGTGGAACCAACCTAGATGCCCTTCAATAGACGAATGGATAAAAAAAATGTGGCATTTATACACAATGGAGTATTACTCTGCATTAAAAAATGACAAAATCATAGAATTTACAGGGAAATGGATGGCATTAGAGCAGATTATGCTAAGTGAAGCTAGCCAATCCCTAAAAAACAAATGCCGAATGTCTTCTTTGATATAAGGAGAGTAACTAAGAACAGAGTAGGGTCGAAGAGCATGAGAAGAAGATTAACATTAAACAGGGATGAGAGGTGGGAGGGAAAGGGAGAGAGAAGGGAAATTGCATGGAAATGGAAGGAGACCCTCAGAGTTATACAAAAGTACATACAAGAGGAAGTGAGGGGAAAGGGAAAAATAATACAAGGGGGACAAATGAATGTCAGTAGAGGGGGCAGAGAGAGAAGAGGGGAGGGGAGGGGAGGGGAGGGGAGGGGGGATAGTAGAGGATAGGAAAGGCAGCAGAACACAACAGACACTAGTATGGCAATATGTAAATCAATGGATGTGTAACTGATGTGATTCTGCAATCTGTATATGGGGTAAAAATGGGAGCTCATAACCCACTTGAATCAAAGTGTGAAATATGATATATCAAGAACTATGTAATGTTTTGAACAGCCAACAATAAAAAATTAAAAAAAAATGGGCATTTTGAATGTGCAAGTAAGATATCTGTCAAAAATTGCATTGTTCTATAATTCTCAAAGATGAATAAGGATAGAATTTAAGTTCTAATTTTACTTAGTACTCCTGCCTCACAATGTAAATTTTATTTTACTAAGTGGATCACAAGGCATTTCCTTATGGCTTTTACTCGTCTTTTTGTTGAAATGCTTATTTTGACTTCTTACCAGAATTCTCAATGAATCACGGTGATGAGCCACATGCTTCCCCAGGCAATGTACACCAGGGGCACTATTGTTTTTCCTTTCCCAGAAAAGAAAGACCACCACTGTTCTAAGGATGTGTTAAATCAGGGTACTGTTCTCTCTCCACTGACATCAGTAATCCAGCATGGGACATTCAGATGCAATGAGGGGCTGCGAGGGGCCGGCCGCTGCAGAAGGCGCTGCCTGAGCACTATTAAGTACATTCAAGCACTAGCCTCTGGCTCTACCATTGAAATTTAACAGCTAGAATGATTTCTTATAGCAAGCATGGTCAAGGTCCTCAGGTAGCTATTCTGCCCTGGATTTTATGCATTCAAAAGGACATAAACACATGTGACACAAGTAAAACTGAACTAAACACTCATTCCTGTCTCCTCCCGTCATCCTTTACCTTCTCTCCCTGCAGGCTCTGAGTCACCCCCAGAAGATGTAAGTCAGGATCAGAAACACACACAGCTCTTTTCTTTTCATGGTAATATACCATACGCCACAAAATATTTTATTTCTTGTTTTTGATAGCACAAAGGGCCTATCTATGTGTATACATCTGTTCATGACTATTTTAATGTGGCAAACTATAAAGCATATTGTTACCATAACTTAGAAGAGGTATGAATAAAGCTCGGGGGAAGCCTTTCCTTCTCACTGGATTGGCAAAGCCCAGAGAAAATCCCTCAAACACCCCGATATGAGGCCTTCCTTGGGGGTTGCCAGTGAGAACGTGCAAGCTGGGCACAAAGCCATAATTTGCATGAGTGCCTCCTCCCCATGCAGCAGCCCGGCTGCTCCAGGAGAACAGCAAACTTCTCCTCACAGCCATACCGATGCTCCAAGAAAGCCCTGCCCCTGCAGCCTGGCACATCAGCATACACTTCCCCCGAGTTTAAGAGGTCTGATTTTGATAGCTTATCACATCCTTTTTCTAGGGAAGCAGCAATTTGTCTAAAACCATCAACTTAAAGCAAGCAAGCAAGCAAACACAATGCCTTTAAACTACTTAGATAATCAACCACCAGTAAGGGTGCAAAGGACCCAAAGCTTCCTCTATGGAAGACTGTCAGGTCCCAAGAAGATAGCTGTCCAGCTGTGAGATCCCACTCTAGGCAGCTTTGCTAATGGTACACAAAGCTGGCAGCTTTTCTACAGGTGATTGCTGGGCAAAACGCCTCCAAACAATCAATTCTCAGACTTTAGCATGCATACATGAAAGTTGTCTGAGGAGTTTGTTAAGAATGAAGATTCCTGGACCCACCCCCAGAAATTCTGATGGGAGCTCAGGAATCTGTGGTTTTAACAGCATTCTAAAGGATCTTTAAAGTAGGTGATTCATAAATTTGGGTAGTGTGATTGACATTTTCCCCTGTAAAGGGCTATCAGAACTGATATGCCTCGCACTGGCAGGACAGTGATGATGCTCTGCCTCTGGGATCGACCAAAGCTCAGCTGGCAGAAAGACTCACCACTGGAATTTGAGCAGGGCTCTGCAAGGGGAAGGCTCGGCGCAGTGTCTCATGGCTGCTCATCAACTATCTATAGGATCTAGTGTAACTGTGCCCATAATACGTAGTTCCAATCTTTAAGTCTAAGTTAGAACAGAAGCAGGAAAGACCCTGAAGAGGGAAGTCCCGACTCTCCATCCAACTTCCCAGGTATTCCACATGAAGAAACAGTTGTCACATTTACACCTACACTGGCTCCATTTAAATAATCACTTGTTCACTGAAGCCTGTAATAGTCTGTCACTACACGGGAGGATTTTTTGGCCCTGTACACTGCTATAGCACAAGTGTTCGGACTCACTGAAGAGAATGCTGGAATGTCAGTTGCTCTGGCTGCAAACCGAGGTCAGGAAATCTACCACCAGCCCTGGCTGGCATCTGAACTACCTTCACCTTCTGCCAAAGTGCACTCTGATGAAGAAGGGCTTAGTTGTCATCACTGACCTCCTCTCAGTGTGCCTAAACCAACGAGACAGGTACCACAAAGGGCCGCTTTGACCCATCTGTAGTCAAGTGCACCGCATCAGCCCCAGCCCCAGCCCCAGCAGGAGCTATGCCGCTGTGTAACCCTGAACTGCTGGCTTCCCAGGGGCTGACTCAGTTTCCGTAGGTTTACTGGACCTGTTAACATACATGTGGCACAAGCTAAATGGCCAAGACTCCTCGGATGTGCTGAATAATTACTTTATATCATTATAGCATTTGACTTATTCAGCAAAGGATGAAATAAAATTATATAAATGTGCAGATTAAAATTTGATAAATGTCTAAATTATTAAAAATTCAATGTCAAAATGCACAATTCAATAAAAATACACTGCTATCCATACAAAAGACTGTGAGGATAAATGGCCATTCACTGAACAGATTTTCTCTGTATGAAATAACGAATAGCAAATTATCTTAATACTAATAATAGAAAGACACCCTCTCTATGAATTCCCATTAGACTGGTTGCTTCTCAGAGATACACACTTCGTAGGCAGAGCACTGCAGATCTGTTGTAGTTGGGTAGTTTTGTGGCTCTGGGGTCTAAAAAAAAAGGGAAAAATGAATATTGCTAATAACAGGTGAAAATTTGTGTAATTTAATGTTCTCCAGGAATTTTAATTCAGGAAGTTAGAGAAAACACAAGACTGTCACAACCCAGGTCCTCTGGTACCAGGGAAAGTGCTGGTGGGGGCCTTTGGTCTCTAGTACAAACACCACCTTCCTGAAATGAAATATGACCTATGTGACATCAGGAAGGCTATTTTATTTATTTTAAAACCTCCACTTTTACCCATAGTTTCTGTTTTCCTCTCTCACAAGCCTCGAAATGGAAGTAATTGGGTAATATCAGTATTAAATGAGACTAGAAGTTCAGTCCCGGAGTGTGTGTGGCCCTTGAGATGGACAAGACAGGACTGTGGCAGGAGGCAGCACAAATGGAAAAAGGTAAACAAGGGAGCCAGGGATCTGGCTACAGTGTTTTCTTGACATGTCACAAGGTGGTGGAGGACACAGAGCTGCTAAGTCAAGTTCTGCCTTAACTGAAGGAGCAAGTCTTGCTGCAAGGGTCTCTATCAGTCAACTTAATTCAGAGCAATTCATCATTTGGAAAGTAGAACTTGTTGCCTGGGATGTCCAGGAACCCAAAAGTCTCAGATTCTGGGAAATGGAAGATATACGGTTTGAGCCATTGGTGATGTTTCCCACAAACTGACAGAATACTGAATGCACTAATCAGACATGATTTTGTAAGAATGCAACTGTTGAGACTACAAAATGGGCTGAAAGAGCTAAACGTAATTAGACATTTATGGCAATTTCTCAATGGAGGTGACCTGCAAATAGCACTTATGAAGCAGCTGCTTCCAAGTACACATTTAGAGGGGTTTCCCCAAATGAAAAGGTGCTTCCAACTCTCCCTGCTCTGCCCTGCAGCCATTTCCCCTGAATATGAATTCTCAAAATTTATCTCTACCACTGTCAAATGCAAAGATCTTACTTTGGGATCTACCAATATTCTTTAACAATTCTCAAAGACAGAACTTAGTGTCTGTACTTAGCAATCACCAATGATATCCGAATATGTCCACATATTATTACAAGCACAGAATGAATACAGTAATTTATACAGAATATAATGTAACCCTTAAGTCTCAAACAGACTGAGCCAGTTTCCCAGAAGTTGAAAAGTAGTACTATTTCCATTTTCACCAGTGGATCCATCTTCTCAAGCTGGTTGGGCACATTCACTTGGGAAGCCTAGGAGAGGGTAGGACAGGGTATCCCTTGGGAGCCAGAGCTGCCAGGTTACCTGTGGCGCTGTTCACCATGGTGGGCGTCATGCTGTAAGGCGGTGCCTGTGTGTTCATCAGGCCAGAGCTGTTGTTCATGGGTTGGCTGTAGGGAGAGCTGGAAGCCACAAGTCCACTCTGGTTCATGCCAGGAAAGCTGCCTTGCCTATATGAAAAGAAAGCACAGGTACACATAGACTGACGGCGCACAGCACGGCACAGCAGAGTAGACGGTCCTGGTGTCAACTCTAATAGAGCACTCAGGTGAGGGGCGGGGCTGAGTTTTCATGTTTGCTAAAACCAGACTGTTTCCTGGAGAAAGAGACTGAACTCTACTACTAGGCAACTGTCCAGTACAGTGTTTAAAAATTCCAAATATCATAAGTTATACAAATAAGCTACACATTCATAATTACGACACCTATTCAGAATTATTCATGTTGAGGAATGTTAGCAAGAGTAGGGAACTTGAAATAAGAACAGGAATTACAAAAGCAAGCAAAATTAATGTCTAATGTTTAATAAGATCTGACTATTAGCACTGCTTAGTATCCTCACATCAAAACCACAAGAGGTAAAAAAAAAAAAAAAATGGGCAGTGTGGGGATATTAAAAAAGTAATTCTTTGCCCTAAAGTTTCTGATATAAAAAAATGAGAGAAAGCGCTGCTAACTCTCTCCTCAACCCTTTACTTAACTTTTTGAAGTCAGGGTGTATTAAAAACACACTGATTTCCCCATACCAAAATTATGTAGCAGACACACACCTCCACTGCTTTTTTTTTAAATATATATTTTTAGTTGTAGTTGGACACAATACTTTTATTTATTTTTGTGCGGTGCTGAGGATCGAACCCAGTGCATTGCAAATGCAAGGTGAGTGCTCTATCACTGAGCCACAACCCCAGCCCTCTCCACTGCTTTTTGGCAGGGCTTCTTCATCACAGGAGAGGACAGGTACTTAGATTAGCTCAAGTTTCCCAAATCTGCACAGCCCCTTGCCCCAAATGCTGCTGACATCATCTCTTGCTGACTTCGTTTTACTAGATTTGCCCAATGCTTGGTAAGACACAACTTCTCTTTACCCTTAAAAGAGAAGGGTCCTCTATCCAGAAGAGAAAACTGTCTCACAATGTCACTTCTCTGATGGGTGGTAATGAGAGAAGAGATTTAAATGGCAAAGTGGTCAGTTCTCCTAGGGAAAATTCCAAAGCAACAAGAAAGATGGTGGCAATGTGGCAAAAGCCTTAGAAGTTCTATTTCATCCTTGTAGTCAAAGCTTTTATTATGTAAAATCTTTAAGAAACTTTTAAAGTTTGGGGGAGTGATGCTACTCTTAGTAGTAAAGCTAAGAAGAGGGATAAAAGATGCTTTTCTTATTTGTTCCAAACTAATTATGATTATACAATCCCATTTACTGCCATTAAACTATCACTTGGTGGCTCTAGATGTAAAAAAGCCAACATTTTTATGAGACCTTTAAAGAGATTAACATAAATCATTTTAAAATCTATATACCGATGATTTTTCTGTTATGTTTCCAATGGACTTAACTTTCTTGCTTGTAGGAAAAATTTAAACATGGACTATTTGAAAAATCAAAGTAATAAAGATTTAAGTTTCTTTTTCTTTCTTCTTCTTCTTCTTTTTTTTTTTTTAAATAACAAACCATTCAGGGAATTTCTGTACCAATACTCAATGATAACTTGGCAAGAACCTTCTTAGACAAATGGTGTGGGCATGGCTTGGGGTGTTACTTTGACCTTTGGTCCTCAGCTCACTGAGGGTTCACTGCTGAGGGGCATGACAGCACCTACCCCACAGGATCTGAGACCGCTCAATGGCTTTCAGTTAGCCTGCTCCTGGACTACTGCACTGCAGCTATAAACATGGGCCTCCGTGGTGCAGGCCTCACTTCCTCCTGTGATGGCCGGCATCGACTTAAGCATCCTAGATTTCCTTCTGGGTGTCCTTACCCCATAAGCCGGTCCAGGGCCAGTTTTCAGAAGTGGCTCCTGTTGGGGCTGCTTTGTTTCTTAGATGGACCTGTGAAGAGCACCCTGAGCTTCTGAACAGGCTTTTTCTGGAAGATTATTTCCAAGTCAGTAACTGCTTCAACTCACTGCTGGCCTCCCTGTCTCTAGGATGTGTTCTAGTGGCTGCTTCCCACGAGAGCCACCCTTGCTCCCCCTGGAAGGGAGCCCGGCTGGCTGGCTGTGAGCTGCACCTGTGCACAGCTCTAAGCCTCTCTTGGCTGTGTTCAGGTAACCTCTGCTCATCTGGGCTCTTCTAGCAGTGCACTGAGAGCAGGATCAGGCCTACTTAACCCTTGCATGTGAAAAAGTCCTGGTAAGTGAAATGAATCGGGAGAGAATGCATTCATCACTGTAGAAAGGCATTCTAAAGTACAGTCCACAGTCACCTTTTCTAGCTTCCACTATTTCATTTCATGTGTAGACAGCTAACATGGACGGCACTAATGCCTCCTTGAGACATTTGTTTATGCTAAAGTGGAAAAGAGAACCAGAATATGCAATCCATCAGGAAGCTGACTAAATTAGCAGCCATCTAACCCTGATCTGTGGCTTTTCCCCCACATCTGCATAGCCCATCTTCAATCACTATGAGATGACAAAATCACATAATAGTTTCACAGTAACAACACAACGACAAAAAAAAAAAAAAAAAAAAAAATCAAAGATTGAAAGGTCCACGTGTTGGATGTCAACTGCTTGTTATGTGGTCCTCAAGTAAACTGCAGCTGTTGTTTTAAAACTCTGGTTAAAAAGCCAGGGATCTTATTTGGGTGGGCTGTGACAATTATTAGGAACTCAAAGCCTCAAATGTGAGTTTGGGGCTGAGTCACCTCATGGGTCCCTGTCCAGGACAGCACTGACTGCTGTATCCCTTTGGATCACAGCAAACCCTGGAAGCTCCACGTGGAGTTAGGACAATCATGAGGTAAATCCCCACTTTCTTCAAAAGAAAATTAGGAGCAACAAACCACAAACAGGCAGAAATTCAAGGTGAAATGAAGGGATACATCTAGTGTAAAACCTGCCCAAATGTCAGATGAACCCAAAAGAGCAAAGTGTCCCATCTGGGACTCCAGGGCTGTAACTACTGGGCTGTTGCTTCTTGTGGGCCCAAAGGCTTGGGCTGTTCTGTCCCCTGTCACTGTTTTCCACAGTCTGCAGATCTGAAACCCAAGGTCAGGGCCGTGAGCATCCAACATCATCTCAGAGGTCTCTTCTACGTTGATGCACACTCTGAATGGGCTTGGTGTAGCTGTTAGGTGACCAGACTGCACACTGTGAAGACAAAGAGTCAGGGGCTGCTGACCTCACTGCCCGGCCCTGCCTGGCCTGCTCTGTCCGCCACACGTCTCCCTCATCATTTCAATAGCAAACAAGATTTGTGCACAAACATGCTGACCAGAACTCGGTCCTAGGGTTGAGCCCAGGTGTGTGCGAGGCCTGTCACTCTACTACAGAACCCAGCTCCTACTGCGCGTGCACCCCTGGCAGCGCTTGTGCTCCTGCTTCTCATTCCACGCATGCCCACAAGTGCTGTTTTGTAGATTTTCCTTTTGTTGACTTTGGAGATTTCTTTAAAAATGCACATTCACCTGCCAACAAAGGGCTGGCTTTAGGGAAAAATATGGAAGCCAATGCCAATTTTAAAGTGGCATTTCCGGCAGATCAAGGTAAAGGCAGAAAGGGGAGCACAGGTCGCAGTGCAGTTTGAATTCTGTAGGATTCATGCGTGTGCAATCCTAAGAGTGTCACATGCTTCTGAAGATCTGACTCTTACCTCAAATATGATAGTTTAAAATTAAATCAAGTCTATATATATGATTTTGGAGCTTTAAAGAAAACAAGACCTGCTGAGGGCAGTGGAGCGTGCCTCAGTGGCTTGGGAGGCTGAGGCAGAAGGCTTGCTGAGGCAGGAGGATTGCAAGTTCAAAGCCAGCCTCAGCAAAAGCGAGGTGCTAAGCAACTCAGTGAGACCCTGTCTCTAAATAAAATACAAAATAGGGCTGGGGATGTGGCTCATGGCCAAGTGCCCCTGAGTTCAATTCCCAGTAACCCCCTGACAAAAAAAGAAAACAAGACCTTACCATTTTAGCAATTAACAAAATTTTTTTCTCAACAGTACAGATGAAAGTGTGAGGGTACACCTTGAAAATGAACCAACTTCTGACACAGCTCTTTGAAGAAGGGCAGGGCAGACAGAATAGGTGCCCCGGACAGCCTACACAGTGGAGCCCAGTGGAGCACTCCAGCACACCCACGGCAGACATCATTTGAGTCACGCTTAGGACGAGCATAAAGCAATGCATGCTCAGTGGGAAAGCTGAGCGTGACTGCCACGCACACATGCCTTCATCCAGGACTGCCAGTGCAGCGTGGCTGAGTCATGAAGCCAGCAAGGACCGCTTACTGACAAAATACGCCAGACCAGCACTGAAATTCGAGGGCACTTTGTTACTTAGACCCAACTGTTGGAACCAGAAGTTGAAACCTGCGAGACCCCAATTCCAGCAGAATCTTTTTCTACTTGCTACTCTGTTTCTCTGGAGAGCTACGGCTATAAGAACAGAACATCCTATTGGAAATGTTTTATGACCACAGATGTTCTCACACAACATCCAGTATCGCTGGAGAGAGATTTCTGATGGAATTACATGGTGATTCTTCCAAAGCAGCATTGAGGAGAAATCCAGCTCAGCTTATTTTAAATCTAATATCCAAAGCGAAAACCACTGTGTGTACCCCAAAAAGCACAATCAAAGCTCAAAGCTCAAGTGGCTTTGTGGTGGGGCTGACCCACGAACGTGCCTGCAGCAGCTGCTGTCAGCAATGCTGGTGGCAAAGCCATGTTGCCATTTCAACAGGCCAGTGGCTCTGGCTTGACAGCATCCCTGGGAAGGCAAAGCAGCGTTTGTATTGTTGAACAAAGACAAACAGCAAACCCAAGAGCAGTGACATAGAAACTGGATTCCTGAAAAAATATACAGCCATGTGCTGTTTAAAAACAAAAACCAAACAAACAAAACCAGCTACATTTTGCTCAGGGAAACATACTAGAAATATAAATTTCAGTCAGAAATACCTTCTGCTCAGGAGTCACACTTGTGTCCGGGATGGGGTGGGCGCGAAGCAAC